AGTGAAGCAACGTCCTCCACAACTAGATTGAAGAACAAAACGACAGCAACTTGTCTGTTCCCCTTCCCTAATCCCCCAGCACTGTTCCCATCCCCCAAATTCCCCAATAAAAATCTTAAAAATAATAATAATAATATAAGGTTGATGAAAGCACCATATCTGTATGTTTTCTCATTGACTTCCCCACTTCTAGTCACATTCTCTGCTTTTTTTTTAGACTTCATTCTCATTAATCTCTCTGTGATATTTGATCTTATTATTATTTCTTCCTTCTCAAAAGCTTCTTTCTCTCTCGGTCCCTGGGAATACTACACTCTAGTGATTTTTTTCCTCCTACAGAAATGATTTCATTATCTCTTTGGCTGCTGTATCTTTGTCCTTAGGTCCCTCATGAGAACCAGCCCGTTGCCCCATTTTCGCTGGGCTCGCCGCTGGGGATATCGTATCTTTTCCTGTGATTAATCCAGCCTGGTGGATCTCAAATCTCCTGTCCCGGGTTCTCTGTTAAGCCCTGTTTCTTATTTCCAGCTGCCTCAGGGCATTTTCATCATGCGTTTTTCTAACCTTTGCCCAAACTAATGTATTCCCTTTCCTTCCATGCCTTTCCCATTCTGCACTTGTCTGTGTCTTTGAGACATTGCCATTCTTTTCCCCTCAGGTTTAACTTGAACCTCTGCCATTTTCCTTTTCCTCTGTCTCCTGTATTCAGTTACTGTTCAGATCTTTTATATTTCCTGTGGGCTGCCTCCCTTCCTTTCAGTCTTTCTGATACCTCTTTAAGCTCTATCCTCATTGTCAGGGGTCACATGGCTACTTTAAGACATGCTTGAGTGAGAGTTGCTGGTCAGGATGACAAAGAAGGTTTCGCAATTGGGGAGCCACTCTGGCACCAAATCCATGTCTCACAACCTTATTAAATAACTGACTCCCTGGTCTGCAGGGCTTGGCGGTGCTCCTAACAGCACACCTCTTGGGATGCTTTGGAAAAGCTTGGTGTTTCCTTTTGTGTGTACACTGTCACCTTTGCTGCCACAGCCTATGCTTTTTAAATTACAGACAGCTTTTCCTGCTCTTGTGAGTATGAGTGTCCCTCTCCTGTGCCCTGCACAATCGTGGTTTTTGTCATTTTGTGATACCTTGGGATAACTTAAGGTTTGCTGCCTTTGTGCTTTGTGAGCAGTTGCTTTTTTCTCCTCCTTATAAAGTATTACCTTAATAATTTTCCAATTGAAAAGCACAGATGAAGCACCGAGATTGCAGATATTCATGTGCTTCACTCCTGTTAATCACTAAATATGCACGTCTGTTTTTACCCCTCGTGTACTTTCCTTTCTGATTTTACTCTGGAGTTAATAAGTTGTTTTGATTTTTTTTCCCATCAATTCTTTCCCAGTGACCTGCACTCTTTGATAGCATTTGTAGAAGTTACTTTGTAGGCTTGCTTGGTTGCATAGTTGAAGAAATATGGGAAAATTTTGTTCACAACAGGAGAAAGACCGATAAATACACGTCATGTTATCCCTCACTTGCTCTTCCCAAAGGGGAGGGCTGGCTAGGGCCCGGATGTCTTAGTGTTTAACTTGATCTGCAGAAACGTGATACTCACACTTCATTTTCTTTCCCTCTATTTTGCCGGTGAAAGGTCTGCTTTAGAAATGAAAAGTTGACTTAATATTTCAGCAAATAGGAGGGGAATGTAAGGCATTTTATTTCATTTATCTTTTCACCAGAGGGAAATTTAAAAAACAGTTTAGTCAACTTATTTCTGGGTTTTAAAATAAAGTCTTTATGTTTCTTTGAAACAAAATGAAAACAACATTCTCAGGCATTGGAAAAATTGAAGCTATTAACAGATTTGTAATGAAATAGCCAGAAAGCTAGAAATGCTGATTTTTCTGAATCATAATACGATACTATGTTTATTTGCTTTTCCTTTTCTCTTTGGGCATCCTAGAGGGGTGTTTGATGCGTCCCTCAAAATGGCTGGCTTCTATGGGTTGTACACCTGGCTGACGCATACTATATTTGGCATCAATATTGTCTTCATACCATCAGGTAACAACTGTGTCATAACTTCCACTGTCCTCTACTTAAGCAAAGTTAAACTATTTTACATGCATTGGAAATGTCATCTTTGTCAAGTTTAAAATACTGAAATTTGAGTTCTAATCTAGTCCAGATTTGGGGCAGAAATATGATTTGTAATATTTTTTTTGTTGCTATATCCCCAGTAGCTAGAATGATACCCAGCACGTAGAAAGCACTGCAGAAGTGTTTGTTGAATGAATGTTCTAGCACTCAGCACAACGCCCAGCACATAATTGGCACTCAATAAATGTTTGAGTCAAACTGATTGGCAGGGAGCAATGAGTTGGTCAGATAGCTTTGTCCCATGAAGGATACTGTGGGGTGGGGGTGCAAGACTAATGCTGGGGGGCCCCTAAGCTGTCTCCACACCTCTTGAGATCTATTCTGATAATACCCGTGTTCCGTAAGCACCAGGATGTTTTCAGGACCATCTTTTACTTATTTTCTGTGTTCTCTCTGCTCCTCACCTTTCCCTTCCTTTCTTTCTCTGGCGGCTTAGCTTCCTAATCCTGTCTGCCTTCCACATTGACCTCTACCACTGTTCTCTCCCTCTGTCGTCTGTGCCTGCTTCCTCCCTTCCATCCCCAACTTCATGCAGGGTCTGTCCTACTTTGTGTTCATGAAGCCACCCTCTGACCTACGAGCACCCCAAGAGCACTTGGAGGGTGTTTTCTGACAGTTCTGTGAGGCAGGCAGGGTAGGTGATGGCCTTGTCGTGTAGATGAGAAACCAGAGCTGCCCGGGGTCACATACCTGGTCAGGGGTTAGGACCAGAACTAAACTCCCATGTGCTGGACTCATAGCCAGGAGCACCAAACTGTCTGCAGAGTGCTTGAGCATAATGTTCTGGAAGGGGACAAGCTTGAAGGGAGTTCCTTTAACTAGCGGGTTTTTTGTTTTTTATTATTTTTTAAATTACATTTCACTTTTTATTAGAAAGAAGCAAGGTAAAGTATATATACTCATCTGAGATATAGAAACTGATTTCTTATCTGGCTTTGTACTCGGTACAAATTGTGACCAATGCTCTATAGTTAGTTCCATTATAAGACTGTGTATTAACTAACCACTGATTCAGGGTAACAACTGTAGGACACTAAAATTTTGCTAAAGTAGACACACACTTTAAAAATAATTTTAATAACAAGTTTTAAGATATTGGACCTTCATTAAACAAGGGCATAGCATTCCCTGAAAATTTGAGTTGGTATTTGTTGAACTTGTTTTGGTAGGAATTTGTAAGTAGGAGGAGCTAGCGCTTAGGTTCTGCTGTTTTGTTCCTGTTTTGATGATGATGATTTTCAGTTGCTTTTCTTCTTTTACTCTGTTACTAGCTTTAGCAGCAATCCTTGGAGCAGTGCCGTTTCTGGGGACGTATTGGGCAGCAGTACCTGCAGTTTTAGACCTGTGGCTTACACAAGGCTTAGGATGCAAAGCCATCTTACTGTTGGTGTTTCATCTCTTGCCCACATACTTTGTAGATACTGCCATCTATTCCGATATATCAGGGTAAGTATTCCACAGAACTTCAGAAGCTGCTGGTGAATCATATCTAGGGATTTCTGTGGCCATTTTTGAGGATGTTTTTCTTTGGGGGATGGGTGAAAGGACAGGTGGTAGGATTTTTTAGTGAAGCAACCTTCTGTGATCCCACTGATATAATCATAGCTTAATATAATTAATATTGTTTGCAAGGTATTTTGGTGTTATGTACTGTATTTTGCTGTGTATAATGTGCACCCACGTTTTAGGCCCAAACTTTCAGGGGAAAAAAATCTTTCATTTTAATTTTCTAATTCAAATTTTTATTTGTTTACATTTAGGTACTTATTTTTTGTATTGTAAAGGAATTTTAGCGCTTATTTTTTTAACGTATGGTACAAGACATTTTATGTAACAAATAAATACAAAACACAAACAGAAACAAGGAACGAGAAATTTCATGTACTGGTAACAACTTTACAATATTTACGCATCATAGAATGTCAAGAACTCTTCGTTGTTGCAACTGTATTGTAAGTTTAACAAAACCGATTATCATATTCCAGGGTATTACTTTGCATATGGATATCATTATTGATTTCTTGTGTTGCACTTTTAACTCATAAGCATAAATAAAATAATTCAAAACATTTATATAGAATTAGTACTACCATGTATAACGCACATCCTTATTTTTCCCTCACAAATTTGGGCAAAAAAGTGCGCACTATACCCAGCAAAATATGGTATGATTTATAAAATACGAGACCCTGAGTTAAAACAAACTTGTGAATAATCTTCTGATTTAGTGACATTTAACCTAGGAAAGAAATATTACTAGAATTTTTTAAGTAAATTAAAAAATTAGTTATTATTTTCAGAACTCTTTGCTTTTGTAGAAAAAGAATTTTAGGTTGTATGTCTGGTGATTGCCATGTGAAATAAAATCGCATCAAATTAATGTCTGACAAGGTAAGCTCTTTTAAGATATATATTATAGTTCTTTGATGAATACAGGTTAAATTTAAGGCAGAAGCCAAATTTTGGCCATATAATATAATAAATATCTATTTTTGTAGATTTTGATATTTATTTTCAAATTGCATTAAGTAAACAAGCTAATTCTCATTTAGCTATGTATTCAGATTCACATTGCTAATTAGAATCTAGGATGTAAAAAAATGTTGAAGTTTGATCAGCTACTCAGATTCAGGATGTGGCCTACTGAAATGAAACTATCATAATAGGTAACATACTAAATTTTCTTTAAGCAAAACCCATCATTACAATAACTGTAGACGGGGTTCCAAATTTACAGAAAAAGTGCCCTTCAGTTAATTTGAAATTATGTAAAGATAAACTATATCCCACCTTGCTGTCTCTTTAGTAAGTTAAACTAGGAAACAAATGATGTAGAACTAACTACTCTGAAGCCCCAAAGTTCTAGAGCAAAAAGAAACAAGTAACTCCATAAGCAAGCTTTATGGGAACTTTTATGCCTAAAATTTGAGGGAGAAGATTAGAGCTAAAAGGAGAATATCTGAGTGTGGTTAACTATTGCTTAAGAGTTGAAATTTAAATAGTAAGATTGGTTATATAATTTATAGGTAAGTGAATTCATTTCTTTAAACTTGACTATAAATTTTATATTAAGGTTTCTAGTTAGAATTTAAGATTTATATGTGATTTTTATCTCAGTAATAAAATAACCTTATTGGTTTAACCAGCATGAAATGAAAGATTTTACATAAATTATTTAATTTAATAAATTAAGCTATTATTTAAAAGCTCCCCCACTTTTTTTTTAAACCTTAAGCATTTTTTATATTTAGAAAGTTTCCTTAAGTGTATTATTTAGGAGAAAAGCTTACTTATGTAGTATACATAAAATACTGCCCCAAATCCTTTTTTTTGGAATAAGACAAATAAATTATGAATATAATGTATTGATTTCCTGAAGACTGGCTCACCTTACATGTTACTTATTGAGCTGTAATATAATACAGAATATCCTTCCAGAGTATGTAGTTATTTGCCCCTCACTAACTTCTAGTCATCTGTGTTTAAAAACTAGAAACAAACAGAACTTACTTCCCCATGTCTCTTATGTCAGTGGTCACTTGTTATCACTATCAGTGTGCTGTGCTGCTATAACCCATCGTATTTCATTCCGGTTATGTCAGTGATGCTGGGATAAGCTGGAGGGCAATTATGACTCCCCTGTGAAATAAAAATAATGGTTTTTGTGACAGGTATTTTCCTCAGGAGGCTTTGTATCATTACCTGTGTTAAAAACTATATTTTAGGAGGTTGCCAGACATCTAACCTATGAGTAACAGGGATGCTATTGTATTGTTGTCGTCTTTAAAAAAGCATAATTAATTGAATTACATGTTAAATTGTGCCCACTTAATTGTCCTTGATGGAAGTGAACCTAACAGGTGACTAATCCAGGCAGTCCTAAGCCCCCATTAACCCAGGTCAGGCAGCCATGTAATGGATGCAAGGTACCTGTTAACATTACTGACTTCACTCCTTCAATTGCTGGGCCTGTAAAAAGGCAAATGTCAGACATGTTATGTAGGCAACAGCAGTTCTTGCATCTCAGTAGTATTGCAATGTTCAGTTATCCGCATTGAGATAATCTAAAGAAAGCTGATGATGTAGTCGAAAGCCTGGTGTCGTAGAGAATGTATTTCAGATTTTCTCCAAGGATAATGATCGTTAAAAGTCGTGAGCTAATGTATGTGCTCTTCATTCCAGAGGCGGCCATCCTTACTTGACAGGCTTGGCAGTGGCTGGCGGAGCGTACTACCTCGGTCTGGAAGGAGCAATCATCGGGCCCATCCTTCTCTGCATACTTGTGGTTGCTTCCAATATCTACAGTGCCATGCTCGTGAGTCCCACGAACTCAGGGCCCACGCCAAACCAGACCCCATGGCCTGCTCAGACTCAGCGGTGAGTTAAAGCCGAATGAGCATAAACCGTCTGTAAATCGACCTATCCTGCCTCTGTATTTTTGATCTGCATAGTCTGTCGGCATACAGGTCTTTTCAGAACCCCTGCTCTGCTAAAAATTATAGACAACACAAAGTAAATAGAAATCATTGTTTGCAGACTTGGGTTTCATATACCATGAACATTTACAGACTAAATTGGGTCAGAATTGTTAATGCCATGGAAGACCAAAAATAAATAGTTAAAAGACCATTTTGGAACTTGGTATAGTTGATTAAAGGAGACCCAAGAAATAGGACAACCAAATTCAATGTATGAACCTGCGGCAGAATCCTCGGGTGGGGATAGGAAGAGTCTGTAAAGAACTTTCGGGAACAATTGGAGAAATCAATAATGGACCGTATATTAAATAATATTATATCAATGTTTAATTTCTTAGGTGTGATAATGATACTTTGGTTTTATGGCAGAATATCCTTTAGGCGTGAGATGTCAAACTGAGAGAGGGAGAAAGCGACTAGCCAAATGTTCACAATTGGTGACTCTAGTTGGACAGATGGTTGTTAATTGTACTAGTCTTTCAGTCTTTCTGTAGGTTTATACTTTTTCAAAATCAAAAGTTAGGGGAAAATTATGAGTATACCAATATGGAGTTGCAACTTGTTATTTTGCAAGTACAGACATTGAAATCATAATTGCTGTCATCTACTATAACCACCGTTTCATAAAATAAAATTATAATGTAATATAAGTTATAATTTGAAACATTTTTCTGATTGTCTCATACTTTTAAAAAACTTTTTATTCAGGTATATTTTACATATGATGAAATGCACGCCTTAAATACACAGCTTGATGATTTTTTCATATACTTCTTCCATGTAAACACTACTTATATCAAGATGTAGAATATTTTTATTCCTCTAGAAGCCTTCCCCACACCCCCCTCATTCAGACTCCTTCTCTGCTAATATTCTGACCACTGTCACCTTAGATTAGTTTTGCTTTTTTCTGAACTTCATATAAAAGGAATTATATACTATACACTCTTGAGTCAGGCCTCTGGCTGAGCATCATATCTGTGCAATTCACCCGTGTTGTTGCATATAGCAGTTCGTTCTTTTTTCATTGCTATCTAGTATTCCAGAGTACGAATATAGCACAATTTATTTATTCATGGTGGTATTGATGGACATTTGGGTAGTTTCCGGTTTATGACTGTTATGAATCAACCTGCCATGAACTTTCTTGTACCTCTTTTTTGGTGGACATGAATCTGGTTTGACTTTACTGGATATTCACAAAAACAGTTTTTCTATATCGCTGTACCAGAAATTATATTTTAACAGAAAAGTAAGAAAGAATTTTAATGAAAAAGTAAAGTCTCAGAATAAAGAATTTTTTAACTTTTCAGGGACTATACTGCATTGTCCTTATTCTCAATTTGAAAACAGTTTGTTTGTTTATTTATGTTGGGTATTCTAGTGTAATTGAGAAGTCATTAACAAGTTGATTCTAAAAACGTGTTTAATGAAACTTGTATTTTATTAAATTCTTTTAAAATACGGGTCTGCTGATTTTGTATTGTGTTATATTTCATGAAGGAAGACATGGTCCTTTAACTCAGAGCAAGTAGAATAAAGTTTCCGAGTTAGAATTGGTTGGCTAGAGGGCCATTTCAGCTAATGCAAGGCACTTACTTAAGGGCAAGGAAATATCAGTTTCCTCAAAAAGAATAAAAGGAGAGGTACTTAGGTGGTTTTAACAAAGGCTCCACTGTTTTGGAGGTGGTGACACTTTGATACCCTGTCCTGCCGTTGCCTCTCCAGAGCAGGTATTTGGGTGCCTGCAAGGCCAGTGGACAGTTACTTGACAGCGGCAGAGAGCACTGGCTAACTGGAGACCTGCCCCACTCCCTGGGCTCCCCATACAAGAAGCACAAAGGAAATTGGTTTGTCAGTATTTTTCTGTTGCATTATTTAAGTATAGTTGGCATATAGTATTATATTAATTATATTAGTTTTAGGTGCAGAGTATAGTGAATTTGCTATTACTTTAAAACAAACTTTTAATGATTCTTGGTAAAGCAAGAGTTAGTTTGATGAAACAAAAGATGAAACAAAAGTAGCTAATATGAATTCTTCTAGAGGCAAATGATTTCTTTTGTCCCCTTCTGAAGGTAGAATATTAATTAGGTGGTATGGGGGGATGAACAAAATAATGTGAGGGCCAGTATAGCCATCACCTTTTTCCCTTCAAAGTTGTGTATGAATGTAGCTTAGAGAGTCAAAAATTTCTGCAAAGCTTGTGGCGAAAACTAGCAGTCCTCCTCCTTCTCTCTGCCCCTCCCCTTTCTGGCTAAGAGGAACCACTTTTCAACTCTATATTTGACATTCACCTCTGTAGCTTGAAATAACCTGCTATTTCTTGATATTTTTTTCACATATTTGCATTATCAGTTTACTTCCCACTTAGAAGGTGAGAAATTATCTTTTACTACTCACCTCCCAATATTATTACGCTGCGCTATTGGTTAGATCAGTATTCAGTGTTTACATTATTTTGACCCTGGACATCACGTTCATATTTCAGCCTTCTTGTATATTCTACTATATTTCCTCACCTATATAACTTTTTGCGTTCCTTTGAGTTATAAAGATACCGTTTTCTATTTGCTTTGTTTTCTGCATACTTCTAATTAGTCCAGCCCCAAGCTTTGCACCAGGTGCTTACCTCTCCTCTCACTCAGCATGCTCAGCTGCGTCTGGTGTGCTATTGGGTCGTCGGGAAAGTCATGACGCATTTTTGCATTGAAAAACATAGAAAAATACGTCATGACTTTCCCGATAACCCAATACAAGTTTCATCTTCCCGAAGAAGTCCTGGAGTTCTGATCTGCTCCAGGGGGTGCTGTCCTTTTGCCTGCTGTACAGCTGTCACCCTGGAGATTCCCTCAACATTCCTGTGTTGGAACCCTTACTTCCCTTACGCTTCCCCGTAACGTTTGCTTTCTTGGTTTATTCCCTTGTTTTGGTGGAGCACATCCTCTTGTAGACTTGGCATAGAGTGCATGGGAGGTCAATTTGGGGGGACGATGCATGTGTGAAAGAAGCTGTCCCTACAGTCATACTTAATCGATAGCTTGCCTGAGAATGAATTCTGTTTAAAATTCATTTTCCCCTTTAGAATTTTACTTCTTCATTGTCTTTTGGCTTCCACAGTTGTTGTTAAAGGTTGGAAGCCATTCTGATTCCTGATTCTTTGTAATTTAACTGCTTGAAAACCTATAGGATGTTCTTTTTTTGTTGTTTTATTTGTTGTTGCTCTGATTGGCACTTTCATCAAGTGCCTTGTGACCTTTAAAACTGGAAACTTATGTTACGCAGTTCTGAAATTTTTCTTGAATTATTTCATTGATGATTTTGTTCTCTCCCTTTAAGAAACTTTCCTTATTTTAGTGTTTACCCTCATACACAGGTCATGTCACTTTCTTTTCTCTGCTGTTTTTCTCTTTCTGTATTTTGGTCTTGTTTTCTGGGTGATTTCTCCTACTTTATCTTCTAATATCTCCATAGAGCTTTCCATTTCTGCTATCATTTTTTTCAGTCTTGTTTATTGAGGTATTATTTACATAAATAAAATTTACCTTTTTTAGTATACAGGTCTATATTAATTTTCTGTGATGCATAACAGAGTACCACTAACTTAGTGGCTTAAAACAGTATACCTTCACTATATTAAAGTCTCCATGGGTCAGGAGTCCAGGCACAACAGGTTAGTATCTGACAAGACTACAGTCAAGGTGTCATCTGGGGCGGGGGTTTCATCTATAGATTGGGGTCCTCTTCCAAGCTTGCTTTCTTCGGGCAGAATTCATTTCCTTTCAGTTACAGAACTGAGGCTTGTAGCTCCTGGAGGTTACCCCTCTCCATAGGCCATTCATATGAAGTGTGATTAAACAATATGGTGAATGTTAAAATTAAAAAAAAAAATTTATTACAGTCAAACACACATTGCCATTAATCCCCCTCAAAATACTCCCTGTTGCTTCGAACACACTTATCTCATCATTCTTGCCACTTTCTGACGCAGTTCTGAAAGTCCTCTTTCGTAAATGTCTTTAGTTGCACTGTCATGGCTGCCTCAATGTCCTGAGTCGATTCAAAACGTTTACCTATCATGGTCATTTTGACTTTCGGGAAGAGTCAGAAGTCGCACAGTGCCAGATCTAGTGAATAAGGTGGTTGAGGACACACCATAATGTTTTTATTTGACAGAAATTGCCATATACCAGAAGCAATATGTGACATGGAGTGTTGTCTTGATGGAGGATGATTTACGGCACACTTTAAAACATGTCTTCTCTCAACTGTACCTCACACTCAATGGACTGCACTGAACAAGTTGAAACTGTAACACACTGTTACTAAGGTTCAACACTCTGCTTTCTGTATTGAAGATCCCTGCCTTTCCATTGGATGGCCCTGGGCAGCAGCATTCACCATATTTTCTGATCACAACTGAAAGGCTCCATTGTCACACATCGCTTCTGGTATATGGCAATTTTCGTCAAATAAAAACATTATGGTGTGTCCTCATCGACATTATTCACTAGATCTGGAACCGTGTGACTTCTGGCTCTTCCCCAAAGCCAAAATGATTCAGGACATTGAGGCAGCCATGACAGCACAACTAAAGACATTCACAAAAGAGGACTTCCAGAACTGCTTCAGAAAGTGGAAGAATGAGGATTAGTGTGTTCAAAGTGAGGGAAGGTATTTTGAGGGGGATTAATGGCAATATGTCGTTTACTGTAATAAATTTTTTAAAATTTAAACATTCACCAATTTTTTAATTAATACTTCATACATGGATGTTTGCTTCCTCGAGGCCAGTCTTTTTCTGATTTCTGTCTCTGCTTAAACCCTTTTTTAAAGGGCTCACCTGATTAAGCCTGGGCCAACCCAGCATACTCTTCTTTTGATCAGAGTCAACTGATT